CACCCAGCTGGCTGCATGTTGGAGGCGTGGGGAATCAAACTCAGTTCTCCAGATTAGAGTCCGTCACTCTTAACCACGACACCAAACTGGCTCCTTACCTCCCCCCCCATAAGTAGACTTCCACAAACTATCGCCTAGCAAATATCCTCTTTGGGGGCAAGGTGCTCAGGCTAAAGGTGGCTAGACAACTTCATGCTTTCTTGAACAAGACTGGAATGGGCCCAGATAGCCAATCGGTTTTCATAAGTGGTTTTTGGAATAGATTAGCCCACTGTCCATGCAATTCACCCAGTAGGTTCAGGACAGACAAAAGGAAATACTACTTTACAGAAAGAGGGATTAAAATGTGGAATTCACTGCCAGAGGATGTAGTGATGGCCACAGGAATAGCTTTAAAAGGCGATTAGACAGATTCTTAGGAGCTGCGGTGGCTCAAGTGGTTAAGACACTGAACTGCAGACTGTGGAAGGTCAGTAGTTCAGCAGTTCGAGACCCGGGTGCCGCATGACGAAGTGAGCTCCCATCACTAGTTCCAGCTCCTGCCAACCTAGCAGTTTGAAAGCAAGAAATTGCAAGTAGATAAATAGGTACCACTTCGTTGGGAAGGTAACAGCGTTCCGTGCGCCTTGGTGTTGTCACCCGGCCACATGACCACGGAAACGTCTTCGGACAGTGCTGGCTCTTCGGCTTTGAAACGGAGATGAGCACCGCAACCCTAGAGTCGGACTCGACTGGCTTTCGAGCAAGGGAACCTTTACCTTTACTGATGTAGTGGTGTAGTGGTTAAGTGCGTGGACTCTAATCGGGTTTGATTCCCCATTCCTCCACTTGCAGCAGCTGCTGGATGACCTTGGGCAAGCCATAGTTCTGTCAGAACTGTTCTCTCAAGGACTCTTCTGGAAAGAGCTCTCTCAGCCCCACCTACCTCACAGGGTGTCTGCTTGGGGGGGGGGAGGGAAAGGAGTTTGTAAGCCGCTCTGAGACTCCGAGTGAAGGGCGGGGTATAAATCCAATCTCTTCTTCCTCTTCTATGTGAAAATGCTTGGGCGGTGTTGACCTGGGAATTAAAGTGTCATCAGTATGCTGATAACACAGTTCTTCTCCTTTTAGACATCAGGGAAGTTCTGAGGTGATAATGGGCTGGGCAAGAACCAATAGGCAGAACCTGAGTCCAGACAAGCTGGTGTTGGTGGTTGGATTCTGCACCAGATCCAGCGCTGAGAAGTCAATACTACTGTGGATGGGTTTGCACTCTGCTTGGAATCACGGAGTCACAGTGTGACAGAGGAAGCAGAGTTTAGTTTAGCCTGTGTGGCTATGAGAAAGTTCAACCTGTGTGGCTATATATATTTGAATTGAGAGAGTTGAGCCTGTGTGGCTACATATGAGAGAGATAAACCTGTCAAAGTTGAGTTTTGGTGTATGAGAGACACTGTGTGATGCCAAGCTTTGTCAGTTATATTTTCTTTAACAATTGTTCAAAAATATCCAGAAACCTATTTTGTTCTTTTGTAAATCATTATTTGTTTTAAACGTATCCCAGCAATCAGAACACTCCTTCCTCAGGGCCACATAGTCCTCTGAAGCACCCAGACTGGGTCATTCTACCAAAATAGATTTGGAATTTTTAATTCCTGGTGGCAGCGGAAAACCACTAAGTTCATGTACACAGAGTATGGTTTAAAGGAGAAACAGTCTCCCCAATAAGCAGGACGCCACAATGGCACACAGAAGAAGGCCTTCAGATCATAATTTTGGCCACTGGGCAAAGTCACGGGGCAGCAGGTGATCTTCCAAATAACCGGATCCCGGACTGTGTGAGGCACATTGAATTGGGGGCCAGTGTTTACACAGACGCAAGACAACTGTTCAGTATAAATGACATAGTGCCTACTTCACCACATTCCGCTGCCACCAGGAATTAAAAATTCCAAATCTCTCAATTCAAATATATATAGCCACACAGGTTGAACTTTCTCATAGCCACACAGGCTAAACTAAACTCTGCTTCCTCTGTCACACAGACTCTCACAAAAACACTCCACACTCCTCTCTCTACAAAACATAGAATCACCTAAGACCTCTCTCCTCCCACACTCAGTCATCAGCCAATCACGTCACACTTATCTCCCTCTATCACTCTCCTTACATTACTGCAGTCACATTAAACATTTAAAGAGACACACACCAAAACATGAAATCATTACAGCCATCTTTTCCAAGGATGGCCTTAGTTGTCCTCTGCCAGTCCCAGAGTGGGCTCAATTTTGAGGGGTTGGTAAAGACATACTTACCCAGGCTTTTGTTTATTAGATTTGATTTTAATGCAACATTTCCAGGCTGGTATTTTGAGAATTCATATTTTTAAAAAAGGTATGTAAGCAGGCTGAGCACCTTTGGTGAAGAAAGCAGAAGGGATTGGATTTCTACCCCGCCCTTCACTACCCAAAGGACTCTCAGAGCGGCTTACAAACTCCTTTCCCTTCCCCTCCCCACAATAGACACCCCTGTGAGGTAGGTGGGGCTGAGAGAGCTCTTTTGAGGACTGATCTTTCAAGAACAGCCCTGCCAGAACTATGGCTTGCCCAAGGTCATCCAGCAGCTGCAAGTGGAGGAGTGGGGAATCAAACCCAGTTCTCCCAGATTAGAGTCCGCACGCTTAACCACTACACTAAACTGGTGTTGTTGAAAGTCTCACAATGCAAGCAGAGTGTAAAAAAGCTGTGGTGATATTCTTTCTCATTAGGTTGCCAACCCCCAGGTACCTGGAGATATCCTCTGAGATTACAACTGATCTCTGGATTTAGGTGGGTAGCCACGTTGGTCTGAAGCGACAGAACAAAGTCTGAGTCCAGTGGCACCTTTGAGACCAACTAAGTTCTATTCGAGGTGTGAGCTTTCGTGTGCAAGCCCACTTCTTCAGATACTTTGAAAAGGACTTCCTTAACCCTAAGGCCTAATCAGAGTCAAGATGTATAAGTAACTGAGCAATAAGTACAGCTAAGAGTGGATTAAGGCAGTTGGTAAGACCTGTGAATAGCAGCAGTATATCTCTAAACACATAGTTAGAGCATCCTTTACCTCTCTAGTTTCCATCAATGCCAACAGCAATTCTGGAGGGCCGATTCAATCCAACTCCATTGGCCCATCGTCTGTGTATTTGTGGTACCCACAAATTTGAGGATTTACCTCACCATGTTCTCTTTTGCCCACTGCATTCTAGTCCGAGGGCTAAATTTAGTGGAGGTAGGTGGGGCTGAGAGAGCTCTTTGGAGGACTGATCTTTCAAGAACAGCCCTGCCAGAACTATGGCTTGCCCAAGGTCATCCAGCAGCTGCAAGTGGAGGAGTGGGGAATCAAGCCCAGTTCTCCCAGATTAGAGTCCACGCACTTAACCACTACACTAAACTGGCAGGAAATGATTAAAAGAAAACAAGCCAGTTCAGACACAACTGTGAATCCAGCCCACCCTGAGGACACTGATTGGGTGGGAAAGATGGCATTAAAATGTTTTAAATAAATCAATATGACGGCATACGGGGCAGCAGGCAAAGATTTCCTGTTCCAGGTGGGCAAGTCCTACTCCATGCAATAAGAAGCAGTGTGTAAAATTCACCTTCGTGAATCCACTTGTACCAAATCCTTCTGAGTAACAATATGATCAGTACCAAACTCGCAGTTTAATAATCAACTGCATTTGTTTGGCAGGAGTTACCACACCAATGAATTGGGGGGGGGGTCATAAAAAGGAAATTTTCATTTTAAATTGGTGTCAGAATACTGGAATAATCTTTATTGAAAATATAAGATCTACAAAGCCACTGATACCCAATCTGGAAGAGTTCATTAAATTGTGCACATTCATTACTAAGAGAGAATGTCAGAGTGGCATAAGATACAACAACAGTCATTCTGAGATTCCTTTTCTGTTGCTCTAGGCGTTCCCCCCCCTCCCCCCAGTTTGAAAGGCTCTTGCTCAGGAGCTCTTCTTCACAAAGGAAACGTTTTGCAAGCCATGAATAGTGTCATTCGATAAGCTGAACACAAGCAACAACATGACCTGATGTTTCCTCCCATTGACAGTTGCGTATTAAAGTAAACGTTTCAAAATTTCATGATTTGGAAATTTATTTATGCACCAAACGAGATAGTGATTCATGCTGCTTATCAGCTACACACAATGCTAAATATTGCAATGTCTCTTCTCCGCTGAAGATTCCCGTAATACGCAATTGTGCATAGCAGGCACCAAAACAGCATCCCACAACAGGTGCACTGAGTTCAAATTCAGCTGCCAGAATTCCATGAGCTTAGGCCCCTCCCCCAGGACTGGAGCGGCTACAAAATAAGTTAATTTTAAAAGGATGTTTTTCCTTTGTTGGCAAGTTCCGAGCTGTTGAGGGGAAGCAAACAGAGTAAAGCTGCCGGAAGTACAGTCGATATTTATTTTCCGTACCGTGAGCACGAAGGGGGAAATATGTATACTTAAAAGGGCAACAAAAAGTATTTGCTGCATCGTTATTGTGTATTATGAGAACTGAGTACTGTTCGGTGTTAAAGAAACTTCACTGCGCATGATGAGACTGTTCGGTGTTAAAGAAACTTCACTGCAGCCTTGGATTCTCGGTATGGGTGTGGGAATGACAGCGCAGCTCTCTCTTGCTGCTTCACTGGAGGCAAAGTAACACAACTAAGCTCAGTTGGGGTTTTTTGTGTTAGTTTTTAAGAGGAGGAGGAGGAGGAACAGGCATACGTAAAATGGTGACCAAGGCACAGCAGGGCTAAAGCCGAGAGTCCCTCTCTGAGACTCTGGTCTGGGTTTATATCATTCCCTTTCACTATACAAGTAAGAAGAGTTAAGAAAAATATAATACAAAATCTTTTACAGGATATATTTACAGGAAATACACTACTTGTCTGAAGCACGTATAGCTTTTTAAATCCTTTTTTTTTTTTTATAAAAAGATCTTTATTTAAAGCAGTAATGCAAAGATTGGTCCATTTTTTAGGCAAAAAAACCAGCAAGCAAAGGTCTAACGGCTTCGCTAAGCTTAAACTGTATTAAAATATACTTCTGCAGTATTGCTACAAGTGGGGTAAATACGTCTTAAACATCCTGATGAATTCCTAAATAGATCAGCGATCTTACAGCATTCTGTGAGGAACTGAATTGCCACTATAGTAGAACGATAATGCTTGAAAGGAATATTGTTTTAGGTGACTAGCCGTGTTACGTCTGTAGTCGCGGAATAAAACTTCAGCCTGGTAGCACCTTAAAGACCAACAAAATTTAAGGTGCCACTGGACCTAAAGATTGTTCTAAAAGAAATGAGAGTTACTTAAACCCATGCCTTCCATTCACTGTGCTGGCAACTATATACAGGGAAACACAACGCTCAGGAAGTCCCCCTTCCTTCCAAACTGAAGTTATCCACCTCTGGGATCCTAGGAACTCTGAATCCACTGACAAAACCCCTGCCATGTAGTACTCACTGTATGACAACCAGTGCATCAACTGGCAGTTTCCCCTTAAATAAGAAGGGAACGGGAAGGTGACTGTTTGAGTATGGAACGTTAAAAGGAACAGACCTGGTCAAGGCTCATCACACTTTCTGCGCACATGACGCATGGACCCTGACGGAGATATTCACTGTCTACCACAGGCACCCCGCATTCAATAAGGACCGGTGCACAGCCCACCTGTACGTGGATAGGCTGCCTAGACGGCTGGTTTCTTATGCCATGAGGAAGCCTACGGGCAGATGACACGGTCTGAGAAGGCAGCAGATATACAAACAAATTAAAGTTCCTGAGAGCTGAACGCTAACTATAAATACATCCTCTAAGTATGTAAAGAAAGGAGGGGGGGGAAATATGAATACTAAAAATCGCTGCGGACGCCAAACGAGAGACAGTTGTTTTGTGCCTTAAAAAGCTCATACCACAATAAATCACACTTGGGGGGGGGGGCAAATCCACCCCACCCCACCCCCCGTAACTTAATATGACTAGCTTTCTAGAACTAGTGCTGAAAAACGAAGAAAGCCGGGGTGATTGCATGTTAATTAAGCCATGATCAGAACTGGCGCTAGCATTCTATCGAGAACGTACAAATTAAATACTTCTTTTTTTTTAATAGTCTCTCTCAAATGTTGAAAGAATCTCTTTCGAACGATCTTTGGCTAGCAAAGATTTTTTTTTTTGTAATGATTAAATATAAAAGGCATGTAACTCCCCACACTGGCTTGCGAGCCTTCGTCTGCTTGGGGCCCTGATCCAAAGAAGCGGCAGACGCAGAAAGGAGGCTCCACTTGCTGCTGCTTCTCTTCCTACCGCTGGGAGAGGCACCAGAAGGTGAGCGCCACGGATCTCTCTACGCGCCATTCTGCTCTGTACACCTAAGTGTTGACATATAAAAGCAAACTGATGAGGGGTGGGGGTGGGGGGGGAAATCAAAGTGATTAAGCTGTTTGAAGTTTAATGCTCTGATGGATTGTTCCCCCCACACACACACCCCATCAGCAGCCTATGTGATAGAATCTGAAGCCACAACTGTGTCTCATCTCACACTACAGTGGGGGGAAAAACATGATTGACCATTTATTCAATCATCTCTTCATAGTTTTGGGAACCTTGGAAGAGAAACCTCCTTCTGGAGTGTCGCGGCAGAGGATCTCTGGAGGAGTGGCCATCGGCAAAACGTGGGCATTTTGCTTTTTCTCCTTTTTTGTCTTAAGTGCTTCGATCCAAAGGTCCTGAGTTGAGTGGTTCGTTCGGACGCTACACAAGCCGGGCGCTCAGTCTGTGGGAAGGTGCGTAGCCCGTGTCGCTGGAGCTGCCTTGCAAACTGCACTGGTCTTCCGTGTCGCTGTAGCTTCCGCTGCTGTCCATCTCGGCTGGTGTGAATTCAATGCCTTCAATGTCTACCTCTGAGAGAGAGACAGGAGAGAGAAACGTTCGCTTAAACACCGGAAAGGGGGGGGGACGGGACTCCAGACCCGTGAGGAACAAAACCGTTCAAAAAGCACTCAGCATTGGTACAGAATGTGTGAATATACTGTGTGGGGAACGTGACAGAAGGAAGTTAAAGAGTCCAACGGCACCTTTAAGACCAACAAAGGTTTATTCACATGAAAGCTCACGCCTTCAAGGCGTGAGCTTTCATGTGAATAAACCTTTGTTGGTCTTAAAGGTGTCGTTGGACTCTTTAACTTCGTTCTATTGCTTCAGACCAACACGGCGACCCACCTGGATCTATCTATGTGGGGATGTGGTTAGAGTCAGACTACGAGTTGTCAGGAGGGCTGCTAGGTCCCCCCCCCCGGCCACCAGCAGGGGATGAGGGGGGGGAAGGAAGAGTTGCCAGATCCGGGTTGGGAAATTCCTGGAGATTTTAAGATGGAGCCTGGGGAGGACAGGGGGACCTCAGTGGGGGTACAATGCCACAGAGCCCACCCTCTAAAGCAGCCATTTTCTCCAAGGGAACTGATCTCTATAGTCTGGAGATGAGCCGTACTTCCAGGGGATCGCAACCCTACTTGGCAGAGACAGCTTCACATCCCTGATCGGCCAATAAAGCTCACTGGGTGACCTGGGGCCAACCATCACTGTCTCAGCCAAACCGACTTCGCAGTGATGCTGTCAGGACAAAAACGGAGGCTGGCGTAACCATTCGCTGCCCTGTGTTCCTGGGAGGACAGCTGTGCTAAAAAATGTACAGATAGATGATTTTCTTTTCCTCCAACAACTACGCTGGGAAGTAGTAAAAGGTAAAGGTTTCCCTTGCTCGAAAGCCAGTTGAATCCGACTCCAGGGGGCGGTGCTCATCTCCGTTTCAAAGCCGAAGAGCCAGCGCTGTCCAAAGACGTTTCCGTGGTCATGTGGCCGGCATGACTAGACACCGAGGCACACGGAACGCTGTTACCTTCCCACCGAAGTGGTACCTATTTATCTACTTGCAATTTCTTGCTTTCGAACTGCTAGGTTGGGAGGAGCTGGAACCAGAGATGGGAGCTCACTCCGTCATGCGGCACACTCAGGTCTCGAACTGCTGAACTACCGACCTTCCGGTCTGCAATGCCTCAAAGTCATTGTTCTCAGTTCCTCCCTTAATGCCCCATCTTATCTTCTAATACTTCTCTTAATGCTTCTTATCTGAAAATTGTTCTACAGTAGTTAGCCAGTTCATCCAAATTTAAAACAATCCGTTCCATTCCCTTGTGCAGGAAACTGTCTTCAGCAGCCTCTGCTGGTTTATATATTCAACCAACAGCAGTGACAAGCCTGGATTCCACTTACCTTGTTCAGAATCGGTGGATATGGTTGATCCCAGGCTATCCGTGCGGATGCGTTCCAGACCCTGCACGGAGAGTTGCTCCAATCTACGCTTGAGGTATCGATGTTCTCGCTGTAACTGTTCCTTTATGTTTAGAGCCTTCCGGTCCTGTTCTTCCAATTTCTAATGAAACCAATGAAATCCATTTAATTTCTTACTGTTCTGATTATTCTTGTGGCCAATGAACACGCAACGCTGAGCGTTCTGCCAAGCAGAGAACTTCTGAGCACTGGTCTTTTTTTTTTGGTATTGTCATCTGTGCCAGCAGAGAATACAAAGACATCATTCTCACAAAGCAAAAGCAGTTGATTTTTTAAAACCCGTACTAAGAAATACAGTTAATTTTTGTTTGAAAGTTATAGATTGATTATATCTCATGGCTGACACATGAGATGAAGCAACGCAAGTCTTCAGGAAATACGGAACGGCACCAACCACGCCTGCTATGACGACACTACTGGCAGACATATTTTTACAAATATTTAGTGCTGGAGTGTACAATACAACCTTGTAGCTGGGGTGGGCATATGCCTCAAGAACCTGGGGGTATTGCTGAGGGACAGGGAGCAGACTCCATGAATACGATGCATGCACAAAGGGCCGGCACGGCAGCAGCTGAGGCCACCTCCCCCCTCCCCGAAAGCCCTCTCTGCCACCTGTCCTCCCCACAGCTGCCAGAAGGTCGTACAGACAGCTAGGAGTCCCCAGCCGCTCCTCTGCTGACCGCTCCCTCCCCCTGCTTGGTTCTGGCCAGGGCTAGTGCAGCAGCACTAAGCAAGTAGTCAAGGGGGCTGCGTGTCCCTCCCTAGAGATGTAAAATTTCCGGAAATTAAAAAATTTCTGGGGAAATGGAAATTGTCGGAAAAATTGGAAAAAATGCTACATTAGCACTTCTTTTTTCTCAAGTGCTCAAGTGGTTAAGATGCTGAACTGCAGGCTGTGGAAGGTCAGTAGTTCAGCAGTTCGAGACCCGGGTGCCGCATGACGGAGTGAGCTCCCGTCTCTAGTTCCAGCTCCTGCCAACATAGCAGTTCGAAAGCAGGAAGTTGCAAGTAGATAAATAGGTACCGCTTCGGTGGGAAGGTAGCAGTGTTCCGTGCGCCTCGGCGTATAGTCATGCCGGCCACATGACCACGGAAACATCTCCGGACAGCGCTGGCTCTATGGCTTGGAAACAGGGATGAGCACCGCTCCCTACAGTTGGATTTGACCAGCTTTCGAGCAAGGGAAACCTTTACTAGCAATCCCAATAAACATTGTTAGGGATGGAAGTTGGGGGTGAAGAGACAGCTGCTGGTGGCAATGGAATGAGGAGGTCTGATGGGGAGAAGAGCAGCAGCAAGAGAGGGCAGGCAAGTGGGGGTGGTCGGAGGGGTGGACGGTACTGGGGAACGTGAAAGGAAGAAGCTTGGGCGGGCAACAAAGTGGCGCTGGATGCGTCACCGCTTTCTCCTTCCTTCCCCAGCTGCCGCCCCTGCCCTGAACCAGGAGAGGTGGTACAAGTGGTAACCAGGAGGAGGAGGAAGGGAAGGAAGCAATGGGCCCTCCTTTCCCACCGCAAGTCCCTCGTGGGTCCCAGTTTGTTTGGAGCCTAATTCTAAACATGTTTATTCTGAAGTAAAGCCGGCAGAGGCTGCTAAAGACAGTTTCCTGCACAAGGGAATGGAACGGATTGGATTCAACTGGCTTTCGAGCAACGGAATGTTTGCGCGCACTGGCAAACTCTTAGGGCAGGAGGCGCCCACAGGTACGTCAAGGTAATGTAAAAAAACCCATTAAAATTATGCTTCAGACACATCCATTTTAATAATAGAACTGTTTGGGTGCCAGCCAATGGGCAATGGAGTCTACCCCACAGCCTGGAGAAGACTATCCCATACCTAAAGCTGACCAAGAAATTGAGGACACGGGTTACAGATTCCAGTCATCAAGAAAAAAGAACCCTCAGTTCCTAGAAAGGGAAACATTCAAATCAAAATATTCTGCTTTACCTTAATGTGTGTCTTGGCCCTTTTCAGGAGGCTGAGTGTCGTGTGTCTAGTGCTATCTGGCCCCAGAGGGACAAGCTGCTTCAGCTCTTCCAAATACAGCCGAAGCTTAGCCCGCCTGGAAGTGGTAGAAATCAGAGCGTTATTTCCCCCACAGTAACCCGACATAGGCAGCAGTTCCTTCTGCTTGCTACCTTCTGCACAGAATGCACGGCAGCAACGATTGGGTTTTCCCTTTAGATCCCAATAATTCTCTGCACAAGAACAATTTATCTTACAGCACATTTCCTAGAAAAACATATTCCAGGGACGAAAGGAAAATGGACACAGACAGCTGAGCAGGTGAGAACTGAGGCTGTACAGCAAGTGAGTGTTAGTGGTCTTTTTTTTTTAATTTTCCTGGTTGTAGAAATTTACTCCCCAAGTAGCAAGATTCCAAACAACAGGGACTCACACGAAGTGTACTCATCCCAGAGGAATGGGTGTTGATTTGAACTATTCCTATTGTAAACTGAGAAGCAGTGTGTGCGTGTGTGTACACATCATGGGTTCAAACAGCAGCCAAAATGCATAAAATATAAAAGTACAGCAGGATAAAAAATGCACAGCTGTGCAAGACATCTGTGAACAGATGCTTTCACAACTCCTTTACGGGACAAACCCCGATAACCTTAAGCCCTGAAATAAACCATCAGCCTAGGGTCCGTCACTAGCTTCTATTTTATTCCAGAAACTTGGAATATAATTTTCTTTAAGAAGAACCATTTTCTTATACCATACAGATGTCAGTGAGGAAAAAGGAGAGCAAAGTGGGATCCCAGATCCCACAGACATTGTTGCCTTATACTGAATCAGACCCTTGGGTCCATAGAGGTCAGCTTTGTCTACAAAGGGGGGAAAAAACTCATGAAGGCAAAAAAATATTACCCTAATGGCCTGGGGCACAGAGATCGTGCAGACTGAACTGTCAAAAAGGGAAGACGCTCAATGTAGCTTAAAGCTAATAGTTTACATTTATACAATAATACACATATCAATATCAGTAAATAACATGTTCTGTGGTACAATAAATTTCATAAGTAAATTCATCAAGTGCAGATGAGTCAGACAAGTCAACCAGGTACAAGTCAGTCAAACAGGTAATGAAGGTTCCAGATAGTAATAACTTTGTTTCGAAGGACTTCTTCGTGAACATAATTTCCAGGAAGGTCCGAGGGATAGAAATCACAACAAGAATTTCCCATAATCAAAGTGTGCAAATTTCTACAAGTGGGCAACCGGTCACTTAACTTTACGGGGAAATTACTCCAAAACATCTATCTGCTGGTATTGCCTCAAGGTAGTAAAGAATTATCAGACTAGTAAAAAGTAAAGGTACATAATTTCCAGGAAGGTCCGAGGGATAGAAATCACAACAAGAATTTCCCATAATCAAAGTGTGCAAATTTCTACAAGTGGGCAACCGGTCACTTAACTTTACGGGGAAATTACTCCAAAACATCTATCTGCTGGTATTGCCTCAAGGTAGTAAAGAATTATCAGACTAGTAAAAAGTAAAGGTTCCCTTGCTCGAAAGCCAGTTGAGTCCGACTCTAGGGTTGCGGTGCTCATCTCCGTTTCAAAGCCGAAGAGCCAGCGCTGTCCAAAGACGTTTCCGTGGTCATGTGGCCGGCATGACTAAACACCAAGGCACATGGAACGCTGTTACC